TCAACTGGCTTTAAGGGTAAATAAAAGAGGTTTTCATCCATAGTTCTGTAAACAAACTCTTAAAACACTTGTTACTGGATGTTTGCAACATTTCCAGCAAATATATAAGTATTTTAATCAAGACGTTAAGCATAGGACAAGCGTATTTTTTAGGTACCCATGCAATGTAGAGATGACCTACTCTTGGTAATCCCTATTATTTTTCTCTCAGATAAGAAAAGGAGAGATGAACTACAAATATTTGAGTTTGATTTTTTTTGATTTTTTACTTCTTACTCTGTGTTCTCCTCTCCACAAATGTTCAGTTAATAATTCAACATTAAATATAGACTGTTTGGTTTTGGTTTCTTGTTCAAACAAATTAACAAAACTTAAACTTAAAATTCCTCTATCCCATCTAAAAGTTTGGAGAGGAGGCAGAGGAACAAAAAGCTACAGCCCTATAATTTATTATCAGCATGAAAGGAATATATTAAAAGTATTCAAAATTTGTATGAGAGCTGTGTATTATTAAGACTACAATACTAAAACAGCTTAATCCAATGACTGTTCTATATATGGCATTACTAGAAAGAAAAAAGTTACGAGTAATTGGGGTTTTTTGGAACTACAAAGTGAAAAAATGTGGAATCCTAAATCATTTATGTTCCATCAGCTTAACAAAATATTAAATATATTTAGAAATTGATTTATTATCTCCTTGAATACATTATTATTATTATCTTTAACATGTCTGTTAATTCTCAATTTTCTTACGTTTTCTTTATATATAATTCTCAATTTTCTTATGTTTTCTTTATATATATTCCCATTTTGTGACAGCAGTGGGCTAAAATCTTCAAGCCTTTCTTTGGATTTAGAAATACAGAAGCTGAAAACCGATTCCTGATACATGAGATGTCTAAAAGAACCTAAAGGTGCCTTTGATAAAAATTCCCATTCTCTAAGAAAAGCGCTGTAATCTTATCAGCTGACACTGATGAGGCTCCAAAAGTCTTCTGAGAACTAGACTACAGAACTGCATGCTTGGACATTAATCTGTCAACATAGTAGAGTACATACACAGGGATTTAAATATTTTCTTTTATTTTTAAAGTATTTCCAGATAGAGAATAGGACGGAAAAAAATGTATCCCGTTCAGCCAAACCACCTTGATCCTTTGGTCTGGAACTATATAGACATGGTCTGCAAGATGCCTATAATGACATTGAGAGGGAGAAATCTGGGACATACCACTAGGCTGATCTATATTTTGGAGGATAATATTTCTTTATAATGAAATATGGACTATAAATTAAGCAAATGTAATTAATTGTAAATCTTGCATTATGGACAAAATGGTGGCGGGACACAAATTCTCACAGAATTAAGGAATATACGACTTTCACCTGCAGGTTACTGGTTCAAATTCTGTCAGATGAAGAGTGAGAGAAAATCAGTGACAGTTTTGTGAACTACATGTGGCCAGTTAAGGAATCCAAGAACAGACCATGGTACAGTATAGTTCCTGCTGAGGAACAGCTTGTGGCTGTAGCACAAAAGAGCCAAATATGGACAACAACCCTTCTCTCTTAAAGACTCATATTATGAAAATATGAATTCAAAAGCACACACTAGACATTATTTGCATAGTAGATCCAAAAGGGTTTTTTTGCCTTTGAATGTTCTTTACATACAAAATCAATGTCACCATGCACCATATTCCGCAACTCTACAGGAAGTCCTCTGCAGAAATCTCCTTCTCTGTCTAGGGAAATACATCCACATCACAAAAATATGTGCTTTAATAAATGCTATTCTCCAATTATTATTCTTAAAAAAAAAAAAAAAAAAAGCAATAAACCAATAAACAACAACAAAAAAACACTTCAAAAAAACCTATATTGTTATTAGAAGACAAAATATTGTAATATCATTTTACAAATATAAGGATGATATAATTAAAGTTGGTTGGTTTTTTTGTTTTTTGTTTTTGTTTTTTTTTTGTTCTGTTATTGCTGGGATTTTTAAATATTTAAAATCTTCAAGAAGCTAAGACTTTTTTAGGATTATTTAACAAAACTTGGGAAATGAATAAAGAAAAAGCAGGTAAATGCTGGTAGGCTTTCTGAGTTTCTTTTCTAAGAAGAGCTCATAATTACTTGGCAGGAGTTTTTCAATTCTGTATTAAAATTTTTCATTCTAAAAGTTCATTTGCAGTATACTTCAATGAGTGATTACTTACAAGTTATTTTAACTCCCAGGAACCCCAATATGCAACTTTTAGGTGCTAGTGTTGACAGAGCTGTAGGGAAAATGTCCAGGAAACAAATTTGCTGCTGCAGTAAATCACACCACATTCTAAATTTAATTTCCCACATGGGCCAGACTTTCTGAGAAAACAGAAAAGCCAACTCTACCACCTACACTGTAGATAACGTGAAGGATTCTGCTAATACCATCTGGCAGCATAGTTAAAAAATTAAATTATTTAAGTCATCAGAATGTAAATGACATATTTTTGGAAAAGATATAAGTAGTTCCCAAATTAAATAAAATTAATAAGTTAGAGGATAAAAAACAATCCAGAAAATACAGTGATCATTTATTCACACTGTATGTATTGCTGTCCTTTTCTTATTTTCACTTTAACTGCTTTCAGATTTTTATTTCAGAACCCCAGTCGTAGCTAATATAACATAGCCTTCCACAAACTTTACTTAAGTTAACATTCTGTGTATTTTTAAAAATATCAGACATCTACCCAGTGAAAACCCTTGGATTTTTACTTGCAGTTATTCAACTCATTTTTAATAGATCTACTTCTTCTAACTAAAGTATCTAGCAATTCAGCAATCTTTATTTTCTTATAGCTTGAAGACAAATCTACAAATAAGTCACTGCTTTATTTTTTGGTCAGACACAACCGATTCTGCTGTAGTTGAGCTGCTTTTATTCATAAAACTTTCAGTAAGTTGAGGCTGAGGAATACTTGCAATGCATTCAAAAAATGAAAGATACCCTACATACTCATACCTCCACCCATCCCCCTGATACCTGATACTTTTTTTTTTTTTTTTTTTTTTTTTGGGGGGGGGGGGAGGGGAGGGGCAAAAGAGCAAACATTTCTAATACCCTCTGAATTCAAAATGTGCATTCTTAGCAAAACATCTTGTCAAATCACCCCAAACTTTGGACATCTGTATCAATGGAAGCTGTCTCTCCAATACTGGACAATAATATTAAACACCTGCTTTTAGAGCCTACTGGATGACTATGGCAGCTTTTGACAGACAGGTCTGGAACTAAACCACCAAATTACAAACCAAGTTAATCTTGGGTGAGTTAGAAGAGATGGAAAGAGTTAAAAAGGATACAAATGTCTGCTTATATGTAACCAAGTGATAAATCATGTAGCACAATGTTATTTCCTGGCATCTTTTTTATAATGTGGCTAGAGACTGATGAAATACAGGACCAGCCATAGTAAATCTGATAACTGGTTCTATCAAGCCCAGATTTCTGTCCGTGCTGGATGGAGGAAGACCATTTGTAATTCATTTATGGCTAGAATAATGAGTTAGCTTACTTTGTAAGGAGAAAAGAGTAAAACAAGTTATACAGAAACAAGATATACTCCTTGTCAGAGAGATGCACCAAACATTTCAGTAACTTCTGCTAACTCCAACAACTAGAGGAGTCCCAAACAATGCACTTGGAGTGGAAATCACTGCCACATGTTAAATGTATTTAGGATGTGATGCAGAAGGGCAAGATTAGTGCAAAAATTCCAAATATGTACAGAGAAAGAGATAACCCCTAAAGAATTCCAGCTCCACACAATAAAGGTGAAACTGCTCTGCTCAGGTTTCTCTGGACTGACTGTAGCCACATCTGTGTTGCTATTCCCATCACCAGTTTCACACGCAGCTGCACCAAAACCTAAATGAGAGGAGAATCAGAGGACCCATCTGTGTTTAGCATAATATCGCCGTGGGCACTGGAGTGGCAAACATGCAAATGAGCTGATTAATCAGGAGGTAATTATGCTTGGGTTACTCTTTCTGTTACAGGAATGCTTTGATAGCAAGATTAGGTAGTATACACTGGAGCAGTTCATAGGAGAGAATGTTCCAGCATCTTGGGAGACATTTTGGAAATCCTTTACAAGCCTATTTCCTGTAATATTTAAATGAATGTTGCATTTATGAGAATAGGTTTGTATGTCATTAACAAAGCAAATCTTGACAGTGAGAGGCAAGTCCATAAAATATTGATTTCCAAGATAAAATATCTACATGGCACTTTTCAACTGAAGTAATTCCCCAGCACAGAGTAAAACCTATTTACTAATTTCCTTAACTGATTCTTAGATCTTTCCATTTCTTAAGACTGTGCTTCTGCAAAATGGAGCAAGTGTCACTAAGCAAGATGGACTGAGCATAATCACTGACTATGCAAAAAGTCATGGCTTTGAATTCAGGTGGGCTCAGGCAATAGGCAAAAAAATCTATAGTGGAAGAAGAAGTAAATTGTTAACCTGGAGCACAGGGATAAGGGAATGACAGATTTAGATCTTCAGCTTTGAGAGATTGGTTACTCTAGAGGATATTCAATGATAGGAATCAAGGAAAGCTATCCCACTATGAGATCAGTCTGGATTGCAGATTTTCTTACATTCTCAGCACCGCTTTGTAAGCAGAAGGAATTGCTGGAGCAGGGCACATTCTGCGATGGTACTGAATATATTCACCACTGCATGTTCTTGTATTGCTCTCAGGTGTTCAGAATACAGCTGACATTTTAACATTCACTTCCACTGTTTAAGTCCCTTACAAGCTTACATGCACGCACATCCTACATCTGACTTCCACAGGAGGTGACTCCCAGGGTCAGCAGGAACAACACTCATGCCTGAGCTAATTAATGATAGAAGAACTTCAATGTTTAGCTGCACTGATAACCATAAATCTCTATGGACTCAATGCTATGCTATCTCTATCAGTTGGGGTTACTTTACCTGCTGAGAAAATTCAATACGCTCAAGTGAAAATACCTGTGGCTCTGTGCAGGACCTGCTCTGGCTGCTGCATCAGACAGGCCATAGGCACTGCACAGTGATGTCACCATGATGACACATAAGCACCATGGTGATGTTTGAGCCTCTCCCCCTGGAATCCCACAACACTTCTGTGGGATTTCATTTGCCAGCTGGCAGGGCAAAGGGCAGCTCCCTGCAGAACTGGCTGCAAGCACAAACTACAGTCAGACTGAGATAGTAGGCACTGAAAGGGAGCTGTCTGCAGTAGGAACTTCTGGTTTGGATCCAGAGGGTCCAGCTGTGTCCCCAGGCTCTCCTGATCTTCTGGGTCAGACTGCACAGAGCAGGAACAGCAGCACCCATTTATAGATTTATAACTTCGTACTTCATTGACAGATATTTCTGAAAATAGGATGTCTGAATAATATACCTTCTCTGTTGCCATGTCCTTTTCATTCATTCAGGTGAAATCTCAGATGACATTTTTATTTGTCTTAAAAAATAAGTAGAAACAATGGTTCTCTAACATCAGGTTAACAGTTTTCTATAACAGTGAAGCACTAGACACTTAGCCACAGAGAGTAAAAGATTGGATGATGTTTGCATGCCACAAGCACTGAGAATGCTCTTCCAAATGATGACTTCTGAGGGAAAGTAGAGACTAAAAGCAGCATTTTAATTACTAAGACTCAGAAAGAGAATGTCACCTTCGTAGGATGACTGCTCACAAGATATTGCTCTACAATGTCAGGCAATAATAACACTTGGCTTAATTTCTGGCTAACATTTAGCAAGGGTCTGAGAAACCAAGTGCTTTGGAGAGGCCTTCTCTGGAAAATCAGAGAAAACTGTTCAGAAGACCTGGAAAAATATCTGTCCTTTCTTGTTACAGAAAGGGTAGAATGGGTATAAATTTGACAACTGTCTTAAATTTTAAAATCTCATTTCATTAACATCCTAAATGTTATGCACTGTACCAAGAAGGCAGTGCAAGAAATAATTGAAGATAGTGTAAGGAAGCACTGTCACAGCCTGACTGCTGCCCTGGTTCCCTTCATAGAATCACAGAATTGCTCAGGTTGGAAAAGACCTTAAAGATCATCACGTCCAACCATGACCTAACCATACCATCCTAACTGTAACAACTCTCTGCTAAATCATGTTCCTGAGCATCACATCCAGATGGTTTTTAAACACATTCAGGGATGGTGTCTCAACCACTTCCCTGGGAAGCCTATTCCTTAACAACCCTGCTTGACAAAAAGCTGGTGATGTACTGGATTTTTGCACACCAAAAGAGCTCCCTTCTATTCAGAAACTCTTCAGCTGTTTCACCTAGATGTATAAGCATTAGCTTGTTTCCTATAGCATGCCACATGAACTTGGGAGCTGATGTAACATTGAAATCTAGCATCAAATACAGAGCGTCTTTGTTAGGGAAGAGGCTTCCCCTGCTCACAGCTGCTTTCCGGTACCTTCCTCTCTCTTGAAACAATACTAACATCTGTACTGTACAACGGAAAAAGAAAAGTGACAAACAAAGCTAAAAACATTCCTTAGCCAAAGAAGCACTTGGGGCTGTCTATATTGTCAACTGTGACATGCTAATGTCATTGAACATTTTTACAATTCACTGCAATTCCCTAACAACCCAAACCAAATTGCAGAATAGCTTTACTAAAGAAGTCACGGAGTGCATGAAACAAAGGTCTAAGGCTAAGCTGACTAAATAAGTCAGCTGACTTATGTATGTAAAACAATACTAGACAACTGCTTTAATATTTCTGCTAAGTAGACCTGTCGAGATGTGTTAGAGAAACTCAAACAACTGTATTTTGTGGCATGATGAAAAACCAACAAACCTGAAGTTCCAGTGTACCATTACTTGGGCTTTTTTCCATTTCTTGCACAGTGAGATGGGTTACTGAATAGGCCAGTGATGTTGAGCCTAGACTTTTCTCTTACACTGAGTATCCGAAGTGGATCAAGTGCATCAAACACCAGGTTTTATTGAAATAAAACCTTCATCTCTTAACTTCTAAACCAGAAAAAACTTCATGTATAGAAAAGACAGAAAAGCAACGTAAAAAATAATTGACGATTCCCTTTACCCTCTTTGCCTTTGCGTATGTGCCTTAGACCTTTGTTTCATGCACTCTGTGACTTCTTTAGTAAAGCTATTCTGCCTGGCCTGCGGTGATCTCTGGGAACTTCTGTCTCCACAATTGGCTGTAATTGATTCGTTTTCCTGCTTATCCTTTTCCTGCTACTTATCATTTGGAAAATGTTCTTTTCATTCAAATAGTAACACCTTGTGAACAAAAGCAAGTAAGGTAATTATTGTTCATCAAGTTCCATCAACTGATGATGAAAGAAATATCATCAGTGAAAACCCTTGCATGATTTGAAATCTCAGCAGAGGTTTCACATCAGGGGTGTTAAAAAATAACCCCCAAAATACGATGAACTAAGGAATGAAAGATAGTTAAATTATTATATTAAGTAGTACTCCACAACTATGAATTTTGCCAGAAGTGTTACAGGTAACACACATTTGTATCATAATACCAGTAGCACACATTTTGTTTTGTATTATAAAATTTTGATACCGTTTTTGAGAACACAAGAATCCCATTGCATTAATAAATCTAAAAATGAGGTTACTGTCCCAGAGCTTTACATAGGCAAAGCCAGAATTTTTATGTTGTTTTTTTTCTTTTTTTTTAACACTAAGAAAAATCAGTAGGGCATATACAAAGATTTTACATAACACGTCTGACAAGATTCAGCAATTAATGAGTTCTTACTGTTTCAAAGTAGCAAGTTTGCCAAAAGGATAAAACTCAGCACAGTGGCAAGACATCCTAGAAAATACAAGGCTCATGGATTATCTTTCTTTTCATGGACCATGTATAAATTATGCTACTTTTAATATGCGAAGCATTAAATGTATCCTTTATTCAGACATAGCTGCAGATTAATTGTGAATCTAGTAATTCATTGCACATTCCATAGGTTTTCAAATCTCCTTAAAATAATAATGATGTGATTAAAATGACTATGAAATAACATAATTAAACCTTTTAGGTGATCTTTAGAAGCTTCACTAAAGTACTCTGCAGGCACTCAAGGCATGAGTATGTACCTGAAAAGCATATTAAAATGTACTATTTTAATATGCTTTTCAGGTACGTACAATGTACTTTTCAGGTACATAAAATGTACTATTTTAATATGGCTTGTTTTTTTTTCCTTTTAAGAAAACCTCTAAAAAGACCATTTCTGCTATTTTATTTTGATTTCATCATGTATACCTTTCATCAAATGTATCTGGAGCGGATAGAAATATAATGTTGACATAAAAACATCAAGGACTCAGCAACGCTTATTAATATATTCCAACAAGAGTACAATTACAACAAATTTGGGGTATCTTTTTTTCTGAAAACAGTAAAATTTGTCACTATTGTTTACCTAAATAAACAATTGCCAGACTGTAAAGAGTTATTATGTAAATTGTAATGAGCAAACTTCAGGAACAACTGGATTGCTTAATATTTGCTAATTATTCTGAAATTATGTGGAAATGGAATGAAAGCCTCATCAACATAATGGCCCATGGAAGGCTGCCCTCAAGTGATTTTTTACAAGTAGCTTCTGATGCTATGACCAAAAAGTGCTGTTGATTTGACTATGCATTTAACAGATCAGACAGAATGCTCTTTTAGTTTACTCATGGCAGAGGCCCCAAAGGAAGATCTGGCATTTGTTCACCTTCTCACACGTATTACAGTTTAGGTCCTCCCAGTTATATACTGTTTACAATGTGCAAATATGCTAATGGAAAGACGTGAAATGGTCTGTACAATTCTCAGCTTGGGCAGCATCTGATGCTCAGCTGTGCCTTTCATTCAGTCCAGCTGGTGAACTTCAGCAACACAGCATTTATTGTCTAAGCAAACTACATACTGAACATCTAATCTCATACCATCAGTAGTATCAAGGTTTTGTTTCCTCTCTTATGGCTGGATTTTAATAATGAAAAACTGAAAGAAAATTCTTAGGCCATCAAGTACGGTCTCTTGATATTATGGGCAACCACATTTTGTAATCCCTTAAGTAAACTGATCAAGCTCTCTCAAATCCGTAATATTTTTATGACCTTCAGAGATGGCAGCAGCAAGCTATATTTATTTTGTTATACACTGGATGAACACTTCTTAGCTTTTATTATAGCCAGAGACTTATTCTCCCAGCAACGAGCACAATGGATTTTAAGAAAAAAATGTACCCAGTGTATTAGAGAAGAGCAGTCTTAAAGTTATCCATATTATTCTGTAAGCTGAAAAAGTCTAATATCTCACTATCCTAGAATTTCTTTCAGATTGTAAACACACACCTGAAACACAGAATCATACAAAAATTGGAATTTTATTCTGTGTTAGACAACTGGGACATGCCAAGCTAGTTACCACTACAACTATGAATGGCACCAGTCATCTAAATTTAGCTGGAAGCCTTTGTGAAGCTGATCAAAGAACATGCAATGAGCCACAAATCCAGTTTAATCTGATTTTATCTGATTTTTAGAACCACTCCCGCTGCATCCAGGAAGAAAAAAGGTGAACTACACACATTGCATAACAGCATCAGAAAAAAAGTCTAATGAACTAGTATTGATTACATCTTGATAATCCACCTGTATGTGTGCAGAATTTGAACTTGAATATGTGTGATGCCCTCTCTCTAGCCAAATCCGTGTATATATTTAAAATCTAGAAGTTGTAGAAGATATTTCTGATGCAATGCTAAGAACATAAAAAAATAAAATAAAATAAAATAAAAGACAACTAGAAGTTGTATATTTCTTTCCATGGACCATGAGGAACTGAGAATTAATGGCAGTAGCACAAAAGGCAATGATTAAATAAAGAATGATGAATAGAACATTTGGTTATATTTTCAGATCACACTTTTGCGTTGTTTAGAAAGCTGTCTTGAGAAAAGCAAGCACTTGCTGTACTAGCAATTGCAGAACAACAGCTTTATTTGCGGTCTCATGAAATATTTTCTATCTTGTT